TTTTATCAGTCAGCACAGGGCACAGGACTGGAAAATCTCACCAGAGCCATAGGACCTAACCCCTTGCTACTGCAGGTGCCATGTTACAAAACACTTTATTAAACCAGTGTATTTATTAAAAGCAGCTGTGTCTCCTTTAGCCTCTGTTTTGGCAGGATAAACAAGCTCAGCCCTTTCAGCCTCCTCTCATAAGTCAGGTCTCCATGGTCATCCCAGAGACCCCATTCTGCACATCTCCTGCTTTGTGGGCATCTCTCTCTCAGACAGATGGCAAGTGTCCCACTCATCTTGCCACCGCTCACAGTGCCATGGTCTGTCCGATGGGTCTGTGGTTGTCCAGGTCTCATCTCTGGCTTTTCCTGCCCTCTTCTGCTTGTGCCTGGGTGTGCTGGGAATGCATGGCCATGCAGCATCCCCCTTGTGCATGTGGAATGCCTAAAGAGACCCCTACCTGGGGTATGCTATGATCCATATGGGAAACCGCAGAAATCCCTTAGTTTTCTCTGGACCAAGGCAGAGAAGGTGCGGAAGGAGGTGCCGAATTGCCTCTAGTGATGGAAAACGCTTGACAGAGCATAGGGCCTATGGTATAATTCCTCTCCTTTCCTGACTATGATGTGCTTCCTAATGCCTCCTGTCCTCTGGCCAGTGAAGGACTAGGAAGATAAAAGCAAAATTATTTTTGGGAGAGACTAAAAGCAATGTGGTCAACTCCCATGACACTTTAAGATTCGTCTTTAAGGTCAGCTTAATCTTAGAGCCATTTAATCAAACTTATACTTTTCATTCCTAAAATAATTTCTCTAGCATTTGTACCTCTAGAGAAAAGAACTGGAGATGTATACACTGCAGTGCTCAAAGCTAGAAATCACAAGGCAAGTAAAAGCAACATGGAACAAAATCGAAGAACCTTATTTCTAGCATAAAATAGCAATAGTATTTTTAGACTCAGCTGCTCCTTAAAGCTTAAGGGTTTACCCACACTGAGTAAAACTTAAATAATCCAGGTTTTAATGGAAATAGGTCAAATAATAGATTTTCATTTTTTGATCAGTGTTTCATTCAGTCATATGAATGATTATCATTGCTACAGAAGGACTTGTAGTGGAAAAATAATCAAAATATAATCCAAACTGTCTCCAAAGAAAAGGGGGCCCTGATTCAGGAGAACACTTGCACTTGCTTCCCACCACCCCAGCCCTCGCTCAGCCCTGCACCTCTCCCTCTGTAGCCAGCAGGAAGAAGGCAATGGTGTTGCATGCCTGAGTTTCAGTCAAAGGTGGACAGTCATAAATGCCGCAGCCTCTAAAACACATTTGTAAATAAGTCTTTAGTGTTATGCTGAAGATTAGAAGAGAAGAAACAAAGATGGAAACAAAGTCAGGCCTCACCTTCATTTTATTGAATGACAGGAGACAGCAGAGGCTGGGGAGGGGTATACCCACACCAGTGTCCCTGACAACTCCGTCTCCTATTTACTGGCACCAGGCAGTGCCCACAGCATCTCTTGTCTCTTCCTAGTGGTAATGGACCTAGCTGAAGAACAAAGGCCTGGGTGTGGTATGGAGGTCATGCAATTAATTTCCATGTTAAAGAACCACAAAACCTTCTTCAAGAGTCCATAAAACCTATTTTCATACAAGTTGAGACTTACAGAAGGAGCTCTGTGAGCAGCAGAATGGCATTTAACAGTCTCTTCCCTGCAAATTACGCAGTGTCTAATACGAACTGAATTCACCTCTTGTAGAAACTTAGTATCTTGATGCTTCTGCCTGTTTCTCCAATTCGGAAATTGAATTTATGAAATCAGCCAATGCCTTCTGCAGTGTTGGGTGTGGGGGACAGACGGAGCGAGACAGCATGATCGCATATGTCTTGCATTCCTCGGAGGACAGCCAAGGGGGAGAGGCAGCTCAGAGAGCTGGTAGGAGCGTATAACCAGATTAGATAACTGACTTCCCGCTGCTGAGAGAGGGAGAGACAGCGCTCCTGCTCCATTACAAATAAGTGATGTCATGACTGAAAAAAATAAAATCACCTACTGTCCTGCTCTGCTTCCCCCAAAGATTACTGAAATGGCTTCCTAAGAAAGAACAAAGATGTAATAGATATGAGATGAAAGAGGAAGAGAAAATGCAAAAAGGTGAACTCTTCCTTCAGTTTAAACCAACTACAGAGCATCTTGGAAGAATGGCAAAAATATCAGCACTGTCAGAAAAAACAGTGCAGTTGTTTTTTCCCAATGTGGTTTTTCAAGAGTATTTAACATTTGGATATTTCCTTTCACTGCTTTCTGCCATTCAAACGTTTTTGTTATTTAGCTTTTTAGATCAAAAGGTTTTTTTTTCCTATAAAATATAAAAAAATTCCTAAGGCAAACTATTTCTGGCAGAGTCAAGAATGTGTGGTTATCTCAAGGAGGATCAAATGGAAAACTGAAAAACTAAGTGAACTGAGCAGACCAAGTGGCTCAAGAGGTGCCTGAGAGTCAGACCTTGATCTGATACAGAGTTTATTCAGCAAGAAACAGCCATGTTGGGGCTTGGGCACCATGGCACAGCCTCTGTGCTCGTCATGGGACAGTTATAGTAGTGAAGACCTGTGAGCTGGAAACTCAGAGAGAAAGGTGTGGATCAGGGTGGTAAACAGAGTTATTCCCTGCTTATTTATTTATTAATTTTTATATAAGGAGACTACAGAAGATTATTCACGTTTCAGGTTGAGAGAGTCTGTGTTCAGCCTTAGGGAAACTGTTCCACAACAGGTTAGGCTCCTGGGCTGTGCTTAAGGAAAAGGACAAAGAAGCGAGGAAGGCTCCAGATAATCAGGGTAAGAGCAAGGATTGAAAATTAAATATCAAGAAATACTAAGTTAAGATGGATAAGCAAAAAAAGAAAGGGACAAAAAGCCAGAGTTTGAAGAAAGAATTGCCCCTCTCTTGACCTCAGTGATATGCAGAGGGGCCTGAAGTCAGATTTGAGGACTGCCCTTGACAATGCAGCTTCTGTGTTTCCCTTGATGGTGGATCCAGCTAGGAAGAGTGATCATCCTATCTGCTCTCGAGGTGTGGAGAGGTCAAGAGCAATTCCCTGCCTGCAACATCAAGGCTTGGTTGCCTGATCTGAGGGGCTGGGAGGGGGTGAAGAGCAGCAGCTGTGGCCCTTGTTCATTGTTCTTCAATTCTCCTATCCACTGTGTGCTTCATTCCCTTGGGCAATGCTGAGTGTTTAAAGGAAGCTGCAAGGGGCCTGGCAATGGTCTTCTCCACCAGAGTCACGCCAGCCTTTTGGTCTTTGCTTGGAGGAATCTGTTGCCTTTTCTCAAACATGGGCATGCAGCCTATGTGATCGGTTTCAAGAGACAGACTGGGAGAGTCCACCCAAAAAAGTCCCTGGGGAAATGTGATAAGCTACTTAGTGATGATGACAAGGGTCATTACTGGGTCTAACCAATCAGGGATCGAGAATCCACTTCTGCTCTTCTCCACTCACCAACCACTTGAAGATAGTTCCTTTGTAAGGACCTCAAGTGCAATAACTGGAGAAGGACTTTGACTGGAAAGGCAGAGGCTGGAGGTTTAGGAAAGAATTAACAGATCATTTTGAAGAGAACCAGGCCTAGCTTTGAAGCTGGCCCTGCTTTCAGAGGTTTGAGAGGGCAAATCTGAATTATTATTAATTCCATGCTTCTGTGTGTTAGAAGTGGGTGGGGTTTTTTTTGTTGTTGTTTGTGGTTTTTTGTTACTTTGTTTGTTTTAGGGTTTTTTTTCTGTTCTCTTTTAGGACATTTACTGGGGCAGCCTGCAAAATCAAGACTTTGATAAGGAAATGTAAGTCAGAATTGTTCTTGCTAATACCACCCAGTACTGACAAATGTGATACCAATAAAAAGAGGATAATTAAGTGTTCATAGTTGCAAAGAAAAAAAAAAGACCTGCAAATTTTCTGTCCCAGATACAGCCTTTGATCAGAAGGTGTTTGCTCATGTATAGTCCTAAACAACTGGACTTGAGAAGAACATCTTGTCAAAGGTAATGGGTCCTAAGAAAGTCTTCAAAACCACTGCATTAATACTTCTATACACACAAACACACATGATGCACAATCAACGGCTGTATAAAGACAGAAAATAACAGGCCATTCAAACAACATTCAACGGCTTTCCTTATACATTCAAGCAGTTTTATAGCCCTAATGAGTGTAAAACAAGCATATGATTCCTACAGGATGACCAGCTTGTCTCTACATCTCCCTCTTCTTATGCCTGCTTTCCAGTTAGGTGACTGCAGATGATTATTAATAATAATTTTTACTTTGAAAACACCATCCAAAGCCTCAGTCAATACTGGGGCTTCATTTTGACAGACACTGCACCAACACAGAGAGGAGGTGACAGACCCCAGCATGAAGAGTTTTCAACTGAAATGAATAGCTGGTGCCAAGGCTAACAGAGAAACAGGGAATTTCTCCATTGCCCTGAAAAGCACATCAGAAAACAGGCCATGAACCTCCTTACTATTCCAAAGGGCTTTCAACAGATTTTGGATTTTCAGCAGATAAGGATTTTCAGAAGATTTTGCCATATGTAGTTATTTTGCATACTTAAACCAAAGGTTTTAGGCTTAATCAGGGTAACTCAGAAGACCTGTATAACTTGCACATGGAACATAACCTCACCAACATGTACTGTGGCGTACTGGCTTTGCATATATGGAGCTGTGAGGTAATCTTCCAACAGAAGAAAATATAATCTTATCACCAAAAGATAAAATTTCATTTTAAGGTGAAATAGTGACAGATTCTGCAAAAGTAGGGAGGATGAAGGGGTAGCCCTATAAGATATTTTCATTTATAGCTTCCATAATACTATAAAATGGACATGTCTTAAAACTTTTCGCTAATTCCTTTCTTCAAGAGAAGAAATACCCAGAGATTATCTGTTATTAAGACCTCAGCCTTGTTCACACACATTTCTTACAGCCGAATTCAGTTGTTACTGACCTGTTCCACTCGGATATCAAATTCTCCATTCACCTTCTTTCCCTGGAAATATTTGGCCCTGCAGAAGAAATGAGAGATACAGACATGGTTAAAGAAGAGTTTTGCTTTCATTACATACTGTTTTGCTTCTGCGTTTCCCTTTTTGCTGAAGAATTTCTATCCGGGTCAAGACATGTTTTCCTAATTCCTATCTTATTTCAGCTTTCTATTCCCCAGGACAAACCTGCCAAGCCAGATGAAAACCACATTGGAAAGTTCCTTCAAGGCTTATGATATTTTCATTTTATTTTCAAACTGAAAACCAAATGCTCTCCTAATCTTTTCCAGAGGAACAGCTCTAATCAATGATTCCTTGCTATATCTCATTTAATACTCACTCTTTATTCTGTAAAAGAAGGAAACCAACATATGGCATGCCATCAGAAACTTCTGATGTTGAGCAAAGATTGCTATCATCACAGCTGAAGTCGTTGTGAAGCCTATTCTCATGTTCTTGCTACAGAACTGCTTTTCAATTCTGTTTGTCTGTCTTCTATTGATTTAGAGAAACAGTATCTGCATCTACAGCGTCACTAATGAAGGATCTCTTGAACTGAGAAACTGAGATATGGTATGTGTACATATATCACATACATATACTATATACATATACCTCCCATCAGCTGCCTACACTATGCAGACAACAAAGCACTTTCAGAAGAACCAGTTGTTGATTATAGGGGAAGGCTGACAGTAGTGTTGGGAAAGAAAACATAGGAAAAGGGCAGTCAGTTTTAGCTTTTTTATTCACATTTCTGTACCATGTCCCCTATAGTGATTACTAAGCACGGAAATTGCCAGTATAATTTCCCCTGTGAGTATTTCTCCCCAATTCTTCCCCTTGCCAAACAAGCTTGACGGAAGAAAATTTGAATTTATTTTCTCAGACCTTCTCCCTAAAATTTCAGGAAAACCATGTATGTTTCTAAAAGCTCTTCTACTTGGAAAACATTGAAAACACAGTTAAGCCCTGCAAGCGCCGCTTCCAGAGACAAAGTAACTCTCTGCATTCTGTTTCCAATTGGCAAAGAGTGGACAGAATAAAGAAGTAAAGGAAAATAAGAGGAAGCCGGCTTTGCTCCCTATTTTACAGTATTAGCAAAAAAGAAGCTGGCTCACATTTTTACTATGTGTCTATTTGTTCCAATGAAAAAGGAGAGACAGTAGGAAGGCAATTTTCCCCATGGCTGAAACACACTAGTTTTCAGCTGAATGGTCCCCTCCCCCAGAAATGTGAAATGTAAGTAAAAAAGTTGCTTTGATTTGTTATTTGGGCTCAAAACCAAATCAAAAGTTTTCATTTTATTAGGAAAAGACATAAAAAATGTCAAAAATTTTCCACTTCATTCTGACGAGGGTATCTGAAAGCTGTATTATGCTTCCCTTCCTAGACAGCCCATCCATCAGCATGGTGCTAAGACCTCTGCATAGATATCAGTGAGGGACAATGTAGCAGCCAGGTGTGACCAAGACCAAGCGGTTTGAACAACCCCTGTTCAGTATAAAAAACAGAGCTCTGGCCATTTTTCCTCCCTTTTTTCAATGTATGTTGAATAAAAAAAAGTGTTGCGTAAGTAAACCCAATGCGGCAGACAAGCTGAGGCATCATGCCTCTAACAATAAACAGGAATGCTAAATGCACTTAATAATTCCATCACATTTCTGGAGGCATGGCCCTAGAGGGTCTGGCAACATTTCTTGCTCCTAAACATTGAGGATATTGCTGGAAGCATTGACTTCTCAAAAACTGGAATGAGCTTTAAGCGGGCCCACAGGAACTGGTTTGAAATTTGAGGCGCACTATTCATTGGTACAAGCTTGTTTTTATTCCCAGCAAGCTCATAATGTATACTCCTTACCCACATTTATGAAGCACACTTCCTCCCTCAATGGCCTCTCCTCTTTGCTTACGAGCTGGTTGCAAACTCCTTGGTGCTGCTTTGCTTCAGCTTTTAATGAAGTGCGATTAACCACAGTCTTCAGCCTGATACAGATGGAGCAAAGAGGCTTCCACTACCTAGTCCAGGGAATTAGCCTTCACATGGTTAAAAAATCCTCTCTCCCATCTCTACAGTGCTGGATTCACTCATGGATAGTCACACAGAGGGCACATCCAGTGTGAGGAATCATTGGAGTAGAGGAAGGGACCTCAACTCAGACACTGTGTGACCTCTCTTTCTCATCCTCTTTTCCACACAGATTGTCTCATCTCATGTCTTAGATAACTTCCTTTTAACAGCGCAATATATCACTTTCTTTCAAAGACAGTCCACTAGGAGGGTTAACCTGCTCTGACTGCCTCTGAAGACTACAGGTGCTAAGCAATTTGCAGCCAAATATTTTGGTCAGCCTATAATTTTGACACAGCCAAGGGTAAGAATGAAACACTTCTTACTGAAACATCTCTGAAATGGATGGAGTGATGCTTTCAATTCACACCTGGGGTTTTGGAGCCCCTGGGCAAGCAGAGGTTATCCTGTTGAAATGAAAAATGGCTTTAGCCTCACCCTAGAGAACTGAGATTTTGAGTAAGCTAGAATCATTGCTGATGCTGCGGAAACATCCTGGTGCCTCCATTGCAAGAGGGAAAGTCTTTTGGTCAGTACTGCACAATGTATGAAATGGCTTCTGGTCCCTACAGCTGACATGAGATGGAGGCATGGAAGTCCACGCTGCTCTAATAGGGATGCATGAGAAAGATAGATGTTTCTGGCAGCTGAGACTGTGTAAGACATTTGTGGATGTCCTCTCTCCCAAAACTATTCCAGGTCTCTGCCTAGGAAGTGACATGCTGCAGGGTTATCTAGGCAGGTTGTAGTGCAGCAGCAGAGTGGCACCCAGAAGACCAGACAAAAAGCCTTTCTGGGGAGCCTCAGAAGTGTCCCATTCACCTCCAGCATGGCCAGCTGCCAGTGATGAAAAGAGTTGCTCATTTCCCTACGAGTGGGGGCTGTCTGGCATCCCCCAGCTTGGGACAAGCGATGGACACATAAACCCACTCGGTCTCCCAAGCAGCCTGCAGCACTGACCACTGCTTGGCTGGCCACCCCTTTATTTTAAAGCATGTTTTGATGTTCAACCCACCAGAACACAGCATTATAATTTGTTATAATTTGGCTAGGCAGGGTGCAGATGGAGTGGTGCGGTTGCTGTGATCTCAGTAAATTAGCATGTAAACATGTTTTTGACTGAAGAAAACTACAGGGCCACACTCAAGAGCAGTTCCTGGGTGGGATTTACAGTGCTAGGCAATGCATTTAAATCTGGCCACACTGGCTGGGAGGGAGGAAGCACCATCATAAACAGCCAAAGGTCTGCCCTGGCCTTCAGGAAGAAAGTTTGCCTTGAACCCCTCTCTCTTTGTGAGGAAGAAGCCGCATGCTCTGGAAAAGGACATATTTTCTGGGTGCAAGGGCATCAGACAAACATAACTTCTGCTTTTTGCTTCAGCTCTGACATGATTACAGGGCCACAAGAAACCTGATGCCTCTTATGAAGTAATTTGGAAAGAATAAATGCTTATTTTCCAGAGCTGCCATGAAACAGTCCCAGTCTGCCTCAGTGACCATGGCTGGAAGAAGCATATACACAATTTTCTGCCAGATCTGGAGTGTATCCTTAATAGCATCAGGGAAAAATACATTATCAATTCATCTCTAATTACCTATGTAAGAGCTAATTCACAGAAAGTCCATGTTTAACAATAATGCCCTTAGGTATCTGCAAAGCATCTATCTGAGCAAGGAACGTCAGCACTAATCCAAGACTGCAAACACACCTGAAAGACACTTGAATACCAGACCCTCTAGTGTCACCAACAGCTGGGACAGCTTGTACTGCACCTATGTGAGGGCTTCCCAAATTGGCATGCTCCACTGTACAACCAGGGATTCAGTCCTCATGGGGCATGAAGTCCCCTGTCAAAGACTCACATGTCACTAGGCTCAGGTGAGAATTAACTCCCACACATGGAGTAGAGGCTTCCAGGATCAGCAGCAAAAGGCTAAAACTCACAAACTACATCGGTTAGGAGAGCACAGATAAACTTGCCATTTCCTTCTGTACAACTGGTTACATCTGCCTTGTTCCCCTCCTGCTCTAAAACAAAAGTAGATGCAATGAGTGCTCAACCCATCCACCAGTACACATGCTGAGCAGAGGAATCCAGGAGAAGCTATTTGTGCAGAGCTTATACTTCTCCTGAAGTTATTTCTTCTCTCCTCCCTCTGCTTTTTTTTTTTGGTTCAAAGAAGTATATCCAAAATGTTTCAAAGGACTGCTTCAGTGTTTTCCTCTGAATCTGGGGGAAACAGAGACATTAGGGATGCAGCAAAGGACTGCACAGCTTCTGCTAGGCTGGAAAATGCTCTGCACAGGGGAGGAATAGGAAAAGATGCCGAAATAATCAAGCATCAGCTAGAGAAAGTGCCCAAGGAGCTCTTCACAAGGTACAGTGCCACTAGACAGCAGCTCAATTAAGAAAAGGCGCAGAACACCAGCCTCAGCATTGGAAAGGGAGCAGCCAGGAGGGACAAGGGATTTGAAGTGATTGTGATGGCCTGGAAGAGTGCAGTGATTCAAAGCTGTTCCTGCAGGTCCATTAGCTGGGTGAAGCAGAGGTTATGACACATTATGCAGCTTTGAAGACAGGCTGGTATTTTGTATTAAATTCACTGGACTTCTTCAGGGTATCCTGTAAAATGGCTCCTGTATGAAGCAATTTTCTAGGATAGGAAGAGATCAAAGAAATATAGCTCAAATCTTCCTGTGAGGCACCTCAGTGTCTCAAATGTCACTGCAATTGCTGTTAGTATGTATTGGAGGAACTGGGAAGCTACTCTTCAGATGAGCAAATAACCCTGAGACCAAATACTTTGTGATGTGAACGAACCTAGGCACTTTTTGGGGCATCACTGTTCGACAGTAGCCTTCAGCTACACATACAGGAATAAGCTTCTACCCTCACCCCAGAAATGGGCTCAGTATCACTGAGAGCATGCCAAAAAGGGGCACTGGGAT